CCAAAGATTTAAGGCTTGAACATTTGGTGCCTCGTGAATGTTGGGTACTATTTGTTTTTCTATAGCAAACTGAATCTTCTTATGTAATACAACAAACATAATTTATATTCCATTTACTTCAATAAGAGCAAATAATGCCCTTCTGGTCCCCAATCTAGGCAGAAGTAAACTTTGCTACTTTCAATCAAGCCAAGCCATGGCCCCAGTTCGGTAGAAGATGTTAATTCAGCACAGAACTTTGTTGAGGCTCAGAGGAGGAAACAGGTGATAAATTGGGGGCCTACATCAAGAGAAGGGATAGAAAAAGGAAAATGAAATACCAGGTCACCAGTGAGTTCAAGACTAAAGTGAAACAAACAAACAAAAAGACTAAAGTGAAAGACTAGGAAATTCTTTTCTAGAAAAAAAAACGTAGTGAGAGAAAAAAAAAATCTAGTGGGAAAAGTGACTTAAAGATGTCAAACTGAGCAAAAAGCAACAAGAAAATGGCTAAGTTACAGGTTAATACTCTGGAAGGGGAATAAAGGGACATGAGCAATGCAAGTAAAAGTTTTATTTTGTAAGCATGAATTAAAAGCAAGTGACATGAGCCCAACAGGTGTGGGTTGACCCATGATTCAGGAGGTCACAGTTCGATTCTGGGACAGGGCACATGCTTGGATTTCGTGCTCGATCTCCAGCACAGGGCTTGCAGGAGGCAGCAATCAATGATTCTCATCACTGATGTTTCTATCCCTCTCTCCCTCTCTCTGAACTCAATTAAAAAAACACACACAAATGGATCATTGTGTCAAAAAAGCAACTTTTAAGGTTATCATCCTATCGCAGCCTTCAAAAGATTAATATATGGAGGGATTCAAAGAAGACATTATAAAATATCAACATTTAGCCCCTGATTTTGAAAAGGAGGAATGGAAAAAATTTGGTTGTACCCTTTACTCAGTCTTTGGCACTCTCAGTATGGCCACTTGGTGGCTCCAGATGATTTTAAATAGATATTAGCTAAATTTATCCATAAAATCATCCATCATGGAACAGACAAATTTGTTATTATCTTAGGTCAGCATTGATGGGGAAACTTTATAAAGACAGCTGAGGTTATTTTCAGATTATGTATCACCTGTCAACAACATAATCCTTAAAAAATTGCAAAGGTGGGACAAGACCTGGAACCAGAGCCTCAAGGACCCTTTGACAGTGTTGGTTAAATATCTCCTTACAACTCTACTTTCCTTATTTTAACCATTTTTTTCCTATCGGTGACATACATTTTTGATGTTATTATTTGGTACAAAAATTGGTATTATGTCTTCTTTATGCTTTGTAACATTTTAAGAGACTTCATCCTTAGAGTTGAAGGTTACAAGGAGTGAAGTAATGAAGAACAAAGTTTCGCAATGAGAAATTACAAAACCAATTCACTCACGTACTTTACTGTCTAAATCCAAAGCCCCTCAGACTGGTTCCTCCAGGGCTAAGCAAAGAAAATGAAAGCAGCTCTAGTCAGTTTGGTTCAGTGGAGAGAGCGTCAGCCAGCGAATTGAAAGGTCCCAGGTTTGATTCCGGTCAAGGGTACACGCCCAGGTTGTGGGCTCTGTAGGGCGCAGCTATAGGGTTAAGCCTCGAACTGACCTGTTGGCAAAGCCACAAACAAGTCCCAGCTTAGAGGGCACAGTCCTCTTAGCATAATTAGGCTTGACCTTATGACGGCTTCCTAGATCCTTCCTAGGTAGCTAATGGGCTATGGGAGCTACAACAAGTGCTGCCAAAACAAGTGAAACTCACAAAAACATTGTAACTATGGTGACCACTACCTTGTTTACCTCTGGCTATAAAATAAAGGCTCAGCTTCCCTCTGGATCTCTCTCTGTGACCTCAGCCAGGCACAGGAGATCCACTATCAGGGGTGGGCAAACTTTTTGACTCGAGGGCCACAATGGGTTCTTAAACTGGACCGGAGGGCCAGAACAAAAGCATGGATGGAGTGTTTGTGTGAACTAATATAAATTCAAAGTAAACATCATTACATAAAAGGGTACGGTCTTTTTTTTTTTAGTTTTATTCATTTCATTTGCCCAGGGCTGCACTAGACCCAGCTTATTCTCTTTGTCATGTCTTCATCCTTCACCGCCCTCACTCAGGCTTTAGAACCCTTGGCTGAGCTGGCTTGGCACAGGGCTCAATCCCCAGTAGGGGGCGTGCAGGAGGCTGCCAACCCATGATTCTCTCTCATCAATGAATTTCTCTCCCTCTTCCTTCCTCTCTGAAATCAATAAAAATATATTTAAAAAACAAACAACACAAATGTATTTTTAAAAAAAAAGGAAAGAAAAATGAAAGCACATGATCCACTGGAAGTCTTCTTCGTAGAAGAGTTTTAACTTGCATTCAGTCACACAGCTAGAAAATCTTGGAGCCAGAATTAAAACCGTGCCCACCTCCCACTCATCAGAGCCAAATTAGGAAGCCTTGGAGATAAGAAAGTGGAAAAACTGATTCATCTTGGCAGATTCTGCTAACTTCTAAAAACCTTTCTGTTTTGAAGCTGGCATGGGGTCAGCAAGTAAAACTCAAGGCTTGCCAATTGTAGGAAACTTTTAAAATATATATATATATTTTATTGATTTTTTTACAGAGAGGAAGGGAGAGGGATAGTCAGAAACATCGATGAGAGAAACATCAACCAGCTGCCTCCTTCACACTCCCCACTTGGGATGTGCCTGTAACCAATGTACATGCCCTTGACCAGAATCGAACCTGGGACCTTTCAGTCTGCAGGCCGATGCTCTATCCACTGAGCCAAACTGGTTTGGCCAATTGTAGGAAACTTAATATGGGGTCTCTGCATAAGACCAGGACCCCAGATGACTGTACTTCCAAAAATGAAACTAAATCAGAATTAAATTTTGCCATCCAGATGAAAATGTCAAAGAACATAATCTTAACTTTGCCTTTCTCAATTATGTCTTGACCTAATAATTAATTACTACAAACCAGCCTTGTGACTAATTCTACGTGTAGGAGTCTGAAATTTTCCAGGCGATAATGTGAACTGGCCTCAGGTTGAATGCATCCTTGAGAGAATGGCTCAAGCAAAAAATTATCATTTTATAAAAAGGTGACATTATCTCCCTACCTAATGTCAATTTTAAAAAATTAACCCCAGGTGGTACAGGATTTAAATGTTAAGATAGAAACGTCAGCATTCTCAGTAGAAAGTATAGTGAATATTTGTAGACCTCCAGGCAGGAAAGGATTTCTTTTTTTTTTTTTTTTAAATATATTTTATTGATTTTTTACAGAGAGAAAGGGAGAGAGAGAGTTAGAAACATCGATGAGAGAGACACATCGATCAGCTGCCTTCTGCACACTCCCCACTGGGGATGTGCCCGCAACCAAGGTACATGCCCTTGACCGGAATCGAACCTGGGACCCTTCAGTCCGCAGGCCGACGCTCTATCCACTGAGCCAAACTGGTTAGGGCAGGAAAGGATTTCTTAAGCAAGACACTTACTATGATGAACTTGACTGCATTAAAATTAAACATTTTAGTCATCAAAAGACACCTTAAATAAACTGAAAAGACAATTTAAACTAGAAGATACTGAGAGTACACACAACTGACAAAGGATTAGTAAGAGACTGAAGAATACATTAAATAAAATACTTTCACATTTTTATATCTTCCATACTTGTTTTTTACAATGTGCATTCATTATTATGTGATTTTTATTTATTTATTTTTATTATTTTTCTAAGAGTCTTCACATGAGAATACTTTTTCCATTGATCTTTAGAGAGAGGGAGAGGGAGAGAGGGAGGGAAGGAGAGAGAGAGAGAGAGAGAGAGAGAGAGAGAGAGAGACATTAATTGGCTACTCCTGCATGCCCCTTACTAGGGATTGAGCCTGACACCCTGGCATGTGCACTGACCTGGAGCGACCTACCTCTTGGTGCATGGGACAACACTCAGCCAACGGAGCCACACCGGCCAGGGCTGTTATGTTGATTTTAAAAATTAAATTGAAGAAGTAAAAACATCCACTAAAGTTAGATTCAACACCTTCTCTTATACAAATTATCTATTGATAACTGTTGATGCCTAGATGGATGTGGATGAGGGAATTCAGTATATTAATACTATCTCCCTTATACAAATGATCAAAAATGTCCATTAAAATGATTAAAGCAACAACACATAGCTAGTTGTAAGAACAAAACAGTTTGTGCAGCAGCTGCTATCTATTCTAAAACAACTACCAAATAATATTTCTAGAGATGCATTAGAAAAAGTATATAAACATGCATGGAATGATATAGACCAGCTTCAGGAGAATGATATCCTGTGGCGAGAGAAAGGAAAGCTATTTGAGTGATATCTATTTTAAAGAGGAGAGAAGTGAGGCAATGTGGGGAATGTTAACATATTGTAGGGGTGTTGTTCATGGGTGTTTGTTATATAACTTTTTGAATGTGTGAAATCTTTTATAATTTAAAGTTTTACCTAAAATTAAAAACATTGGGAAGAAATGTACATCCATATTGTTTTAGGATTTTGGAAATAAATGGGATTTGTCTATACTTGCTACGTATTCTATAAGCAACAGCTTTGACTTTTACATTTTAAAACACGAAACACTTGCTTGAATGACTTAGAAGTAGTAACTAACCAGACAATCAGAAGATAACAGGAAGCAGAAGAGAGAAAAATGTAGATTCAATGAGCCTGCCCTCAGCCGGATTTGCCTACCAACCTCTGGTTCTCAACCTTGGCTGCTCATTAGAATCACCTGAGAATCTTTTAAAAATCCTGATATCTGGGCCTCATCCTCTGGAAATTCTGTTTCTTTGTTACTAAGGTTGTGGCCCCACCCCATAACAAGGAAACAGAATTTCCGGAGGATGAGGCCCAGAAATCAGGATTCTAAAAAGATTCCCAGGTGATTCTAATGTGCAGCCAAGGTTGAGAACCACTGCCTTAAAGTGACTTCCAGTCAACATAGTCTCCAATGCAAACCACACTGTTAGTCAGCTGGGGGGGTTGGGGGGGAGTCTTGGAGGCCAGGTGATATCTTACTTGTGGAGATGACCTCTGAGACCCAGCTGGAGCCAAATAAAGACAAATTCAAGGTCCCAAAGGAAGTCCTGGTGATTGATGCAGAGCAGGAAGCGCCCTATGGAGCCTGCAGGCCCTGGTGCCCAGTGTCCATTGGGCTGGGGGTGGGGGGTAATGCCAGAAGGGGCGGGGCTGCACGGAGACCCTAAAAGCGGGCACAGGCTCCGCCTCTGATTGGAGTTCTGTGAGAGCCACTCGACCTCGCCCTGGAGCTGCAGCTCCCAGCATGGTCGACCAGCCCGGTGCTGTGGTCCAGGAGGACCCATGGATGTCCGCGCAGGCCCTGGACAGGCTGCTGAAGATGCCGCTTCCACTGCCACGGATTCGCACCCGGCCCTGGTGGTTTCCTGCGCTGGAGCTGAGAGACCCATTGGTGTTTTACCTGGAGGCATGTCTGGCTGACCCCATCTTCGGTGAGCGAGCCGGGTGTGCAGGTGGCCTGGTCCCCTCCAGTCTGGGAGGCCGGCCAGGGCACCTCTCTACAGCCTTTCCCAACGTCGAGGGCCACGTTTGACGCCAGGAAAACGACGGCGGCGGCCTTCCCTTCCAATCTGCCTCCTCTTGACCTTCGACCATGCCACCCCTCAGTCTCTCTCTTCCTGTTTAGGCAAAAACGGAGCCATGATTCCGGAAATAGAGTGGATGAACCAGGTCCTGCTGACGGTGGAAAAGGTGAACTCCGGGAGCTTAATCGAAATCACTGTTTTCGGACAGCCCCGTGTCCAAAATAGGGTGAAAAGCGTGCTCCTCAGCCTGGCAGCAAGGCACCGGGAGAACCGTGCCCGAGGTGAGGCTCTTTGCAACCTGCATGTGGAGGGAGCCCAGGTGAACCACCTGGCGGTACCTGGCTTCCTTCCAGCCTCTCTTCCCTTCCCAGTACTTTCTGCAATTTCCCAGCTCCAGTAAGGTGCAGGCAGCCCCTGGGCATCCCTTTGTGCGGAGTCCAAGTAGGGACTTGGGGTAGTAAGCTGAGATCTGACACATTCATGCCCTTCACTGCCCATGTCGGCCTCAGTTTGATTATACAACTATTTCCAGATCCAAGTTCAGAACCTCCACCCAGAGAAATGGTGTTGCCAGCATCCCCCCCCCCCTCCAGCCCCTCCCCCTGCCCGCAGTGACCGAGTAATTTGAAACTGAGTATTTTTGCTTATCCAGATAAGAAGATAAAACAACTTGAGAAGTTCTTGAAGGCCCATGGGTCACCTCCCCCGACTCCCCAGTCTGCCGGTTCTGGGTCTCCTGTTGCATGATATTGGCAGGAGCATTATGAGAACCGACCTGCTCCTGCTCCTGCTCCTGAAGTTAAAAGAAGCAAGTGTCCTTAAATCTCAGCTTCTTTCTTTCTTTTGCTGGATGGATGGGTGGTTTGGTTTTTCTGATGCAGATGTGAGTGCAGTTGTAATAAAATGAATTTCCTTTTTGTCCACTGAAATAAAAATCTTTGCTCACTTAAAATTAAGCAAATTTACAAAAGATTAACAGTTCATGCATGTCTTTTAAAAAAAAATTTTTTTTGTGGGTTTATTTGAGCCAAACTGGACAGTTGCTGGGAAGCAGAACCTCAACGAATTGAGATAATGCTTCAGAGAATGGGGGTTTCTCATTTATTTTTATACATTGTAATTAAAGGAGGCCAAGTAGGTGAGTTACATGAAATCCATTGGTGATAGATTAGAGAGGTGGGAGAAAGCAAAGGGGAAACCTCTGGGATTGGATAAAAAGTAAAATGATAGACACACACTTAGGTGGGTGGAGGAATAATTAACATAACAATGAAGGAATTTGTGGTATCTGTCCTGGAGTCCAGGCACATTAGGTTGTGCCCCAAGGGGTCTGGAAAAAGGGAAGTTACAAGTTACCCAGACATTTCAAGGATATGTTATCATAGATGCAAAAGACAGATAGGTTCAGTTAAGGTAAAGGTTGACCTTGTCAGTGAAGACACCGGCCTAGGAGACGACCACCCACCATTACTGCTTTCAGTTAAAGTTTAATTTCAGACCGTCCTTTGTAGTTACTTTGTTTTTGAGTTTGCAAGATAGTCATGCAGGCCTTCCCTGAGCTTATTAGGTTAGTGTGTGGCCCCTTTCGTCCATACATCTCCCTTTTGGTCATAAATCAAACCAAAGGATTCATGCATGTCTTGATGTGCGGGGTAGGTATAAGGCCTGATGAGTGGTTTTCTTTTGGTCTGTTTGTTTCTACCATTTTGAAACTACTATTTTATGATTTTATGGTGTCAGGCCTTCATTCACAGGAGGTAGAGATGTTGGGTCAATATACTTTGGGTCTTTTTTTGTTTGTTTTTTGCATCATTTGTTCTCAAACTTGAACATGTGTGTAATCACCTTGGGAGCTTACTAAAAGTTTAATGCTCCTCAGGTGATTCTGATCAGTACATTGGGCCCATGAATTTGCATTTCTAACAAGCTCCCAGGTGATTCCAATCGGTGATTCTTCTTTGAGGCTCTCACTTTGAAGCTGCTGTGCGTTTTCTTCTGGAGCAGTGGTTCTCAACCTTGGCTGCACATTAGAATCACCTGGGAATCTTTAAAATCCTGATTTCTGGGCCTCATCCTCCGGAAATTCTGTTTCTTTGTTATGGGGTGGGGCCACAACATTAGTAGCAAAGAAACAATTTCCGGAAGATGAGGCCCAGAAATCAGGATTTTATTTTATTGATTTTTTACAGAGAGAAAGGGAGAGAGATAGAGAGTTAGAAACATCGATGAGAGAGAAACATCGATCAGCTGCCTCCTGCACATCTCCCACTGGGGAAGTGCCCGCAACCCAGGTACATGCCCTTGACCGGAATCGAACCTGGGACCTTTCAGTCCGCAGGCCGACGCTCTATCCACTGAGCCAAACCGGTTTCAGCCAGAAATCAGGATTTTAAAAAGAGTCCCACGCCCTAACCGGTTTGGCTCAGTGGATAGAGCGTCGGCCTGCGGACTGGAAGGTCCCAGGTTCGATTCCAGCCAAGGGCATGTACCATGGTTGCGGCCACATCCCCAGTAGGAGCTGTGCAGGAGGCAGCTGATCGATGTTCCTTTCTCATCGATGTTAATAACTCTCTTATCTCTCTCCCTTCCTCTCTGTGAAAAATCAATATATGTTTTAAAAGATTCCCAGGTGATTCTAATGTGCAGCCAAGGTTGAGAACCACTGTTCTAGAGGGGTGCCTCCCTCTCTGCACATGGGTGGGTGTTCTAACAGGAAAGCTAAGCCATCAGCATTCATTCTGCTGGTGCTGAGATTCACTGGAGAACTGTGATCCCGGGCAGTTTGTCCCACAGAAGGTGTTCTGTCCCCAGGCTGGCTGGCTCCGCTCCCCCCTCACTCCCATACACACACACTGGCCTGCAAAGGTGTCCTGAACCAGGGGATTTGTTTTTCTATTACCAGTGAAATAGTTATGAACAAATTGTGCAAAACAACCTTAAACCCTTGCTGTCTCCACTTTCAGGAAGCAGATTTCTTGGGAGAGGCAGCTAAGAGCTCGGCAGCTTCAGACACAAAGTTTGAGTTGATTTAACTCCTGCACTTTCTTTACCCCTTAGTAGTAAAGGATTTTAGCTGTTTGCAAGGGTTTTTAAACACACACGTGTCTTTTAAAATATGTCTTTGATTACAAGTGATATTGATCAGATTCCTAGTTTGCTTCTCATTTTTGGTCCATTAGAACTAATATTTTTTTTGCATGAGAGAAATTGTTATGTGTAGCTAAACCAATTGTTTTCTGTGTGATTTTCCCTCATCCTTTTAAAAAAAAGTTTTAATTGATTTTTAGAGGGAGAGGGGGAGAGAAAAACATCTATGAGAAACATCATTGACCAGCTGCCTCCTTCACGCCCCCTACTGGGTATCTTGCCTGCAACCCAGACGTATGCCCAGACCTAGAATCCAACTAGCAACCTCTTGGTGCATGAGCCGATGCTCAACCACTGAACCCCATGCTATTGGGGCCCTCATCCTTACTTTAAGCTTAGGAACTCCTGCTTGCTCTTATTCTGTAGATTTATTTTATTTTAGAGAGGAAGGGAGGTATGGGAGAGGGGGAGAGAAACATCGATGTGAGAGAATATCGTTTGGTTGCCTCCCACACTTGCTCTGATCAGGGAGAAATCCACAACCTGGGTATGTGCGATGACCGATAATCAAACCTGCTACCTTCTGGGGCGATGTGCCAACCAACTGAGCCTCACCAGCCAGGGTATCCTGTAGAAATCTGATAAATATTATTTTTAAAATTTTTTAAATGATTCTGCACTTCTTACCCCCCATTACTTCCAAATATGAGTGTATTTGGAGGTAGGGCCTATAAAGAGTTAATAAAGGTAAAATAAGAGTATATGGGTGGGCCTTTCCCCAGTATAACTGGTGTCTTTATAAGAAGAAGAATATGGACACAAGATAGGTTGAGCACAGAGGAAAGCCCATGTGAAGACATACATAGCAAGAGGGCAGCCATCTGCAAGCTAAGAGAGTCTTCAGAAGAAACCAAACCTGGGAATACCTTGATCTTGGACTTCTAGCCTTTAGAACAGCGGTTCTGGACCTGTGGGGCGTGACCCCTTTGGGGGTCGAACGACCCTTTCACGGGTCGCCTAAGACCATCGGAAAACACATATAATTACATATTTTTGTGATTAATCGCTATGCTTTAATTATGTTCAATTTGTAACAATGAAATTAGGGGTCACCACAACATAAGGAACTGTATTAAAGGGTCTCGGGCAGTAGGAAGGTTGAGAACCACTCCTCTAGAACTTTGAGAACAATAAATGTTGCTTAAGCCACCCAGTCTGTTTTGTTTTCTCTCTCCCTTCCCCTTTCTCTAAAATCACATTAGGTTGTGCCCCAAGGGGTCTGGAAAAAGGAAAGTTACAAGTTACCCAGACATTTCAAGGATACTAGTATATTATCATAGATACAAAAAGACAGGCTCAGTTAAGGTAAAGGTTGACCTTGTCAGTGAAGATACTGGCCTAGGACATTAACTACCCACCATAATTGATTTTAGTTTAATTTCAGACCATCCTTTGTGGTTACTTTAGGTCTCTGAGTTTGAAAGACAGCCATGCAGACCTTCCCTGAGTTTGTCAGGTTAGCATATGGCCCCTTTTGTCCACAGTGATCACCTATTGGTAACCAAAGGGCCTATGACAGACATACCACTGCCCTGATCTTTAAAGTGAAGTTCTCTTAAAATTTATTTCAAATCCTCAACTGAGGATATTTTTCCACTGACTTTTGTTTTTAGACTGTGGAAGGAGGGGGAGAGGAAGAGAAACATTGATGTGAGAGACATATCAATTGGTGGCCTCCCTCATGCACCCTGACCAGGGCCAGGAATCCGAGGTTGGTGTTCTTGACCAGAATTGAACCCCGGACCCTTCAGTCCGCAGGCCTAAGCTCTATCCACTCAGCGAAACTGGCTAGGACTTGAAGTTTTTTTGTGTCTTAATTTTTAAAATGTTTATTTTAGAGAGGAAGGGTGAAGGAGAAAAACATCTGAGAGAGAAATAGCAATTGGCTGCTTCCTGATTGCCCCCTCCTGGAGATAGAGCCCCAAACCCAGGCTTGAGTACTGAAAGAATCCAATGGAACTGACCTAGGTGCATGGGAGGATGATCAGGCCCCTGAGCACAAATGAAAGTTTTCCTAACACTAAGACTGGTGCTTGCTCTTGTCTTTTAATCCCAGTGCCCAGCTGTTAACAGTTCGCTTCCTTCTAGCAGGCACCTGGTGTTGGAGCTGCCTGGAGCCAGAAGCCAAATCTGACAAAGTTGCTAATTATCGCTACAATGGCATTCATAATTTATCAAATTAACATGTTACATACCTGAAACTTACATTGTATTTCAAACATTAATTTTAACCGTGAAAAGGGTGCCCCACTCCAGGTTTGGAGAGGTTTCCCAGGGAGGGCAGACTCCTTGGGCCAGAGGGGCCGCTGGTGTGTGCGGTCAAGGAGCATGAGGGAAGCACCTGCCTGCGACCTCTGGCCGCTAGAAATCCAACAGGTCTCACCTGCTTGTAGACAGAAAGCAGCCTAGAGCTGATAATGCTTCCCCTTCTACCTGCCAAACAACAGACGGTAGGTAATTCAATTCTTTATTAAGGAAATTTGATTCTTTTGTTACAATTTTAGATTTGTGCTTGCAAACATTTAACATGGGGGTGGGGAGGGGAAACCAAGAACAACCCACACCACCCTTTCCTTTCCCCAGCTTCTGCTGCAGAAGCTGGACCTAGAATAGGGTTCCAGAGAGGGGTTTTCACTTGAACCTTGCCTGGCTCGCGCTCCGGGGCCCCGAAATGCCTTCATAACCTGGGAACCGGGCTCTGGGTAGTGTTGGGGGAGCTCTGGGTCGCCGCCTCCTAGACTGTGTTGGGGAACAGCTGGGTCGCCACCTCCCAGATAGCGTTGGGGGACCGCTGGGTCCCCTTCTCTTGAACAGCGTCGGGGGACCGCTGGGTCCCCTTCTCTTGAACAGCGTCGGGGGACCGCTGGGTCCCCTTCTCTTGAACAGCGTCGGGGGACCGCTGGGTCCCCTTCTCTTGAACAGCGTCGGGGGACCGCTGGGTCCCCTTCTCCCGGACAGCGTCGGGGGACCGCTGGGTCCCCTTCTCCCGGACAGCGTCGGGGGACCGCTGGGTCGCCTTCTCCTGGACAGCGTCGGGGGACCGCTGGGTCCCCTTCTCTTGGACAGCATCGGGGGACCGCTGGGTTGCCTTCTCTTGGACAGCGTCGGGGGACCGCTGGGTCCCCTTTTCTTGAACAGCGTCAGGGGACCGCTGGGTCGTTTTCTCTTGGACAGCATCGGGGGACCGCTGGGTCGTCTTCTCTTGGACAGCATCGGGGGACCGCTGGGTCCCCATCTCCCGGACAGCGTCAGGGGACCGCTGGGTCGCCTTCTCTTGAACAGCGTCGGGGGACCGCTGGGTCGCGGCCTCCCGAACTTTGTCGGGGGATCTCTGGCTCTTGACCACTCGGACTTTGTCGGGGGAGGCCTGGAGCATAGCCACCCGGACTGCAGCGGAGAAGCTCGGCAGCTCGGCCTGCTGGGCAGCGTTCTTCAGCGAACCTGGAAGAAAAGCAGGTGAAGAGGCCGCACCTGTGTCCCCATACTCTCCCCCCACAGGAGTCACCCGTGAGGGCTGCAGGGGTGGGACGGGAATCTGAGAGCACGGGGTCCATTTGGGCTTCTAGATGCCTTGCAAAGAGGAAGCCCATTCCCGGAGGACTAAGAGGACGAGACCGCTGCCCGGCCACACCCGGGACGCATCAGGATCCCTCCCAAGTGAGCCAAGGTCTGCCCAGACTTCCCCTTACCATTCCCAGTCCCCTACCTTGTGCCCGGAGTTGGCGGTGGTAGTGAGCCAAGTTCATGATCATCTTGGACACATCCTTTTGGTAAGAAGGCCGGCCAAAGATCAGGATCTCGGCCTCGCCTTCGGGATCCCACTGGTTAATGCGAAGCAGGGTCTGCGACACACACTCGACGTGCGGAATGTGCTCTCCGCCGGGGCCTGCACAGGAGGGAGAAAGGGCGTGAGGGGCGCACAGGAAGGGGAGGTGTCGGGAGGGGGAGAATTGCCAGGGCCACAGAGGAGGCTTGCCCCCAGGTGCGGTGAGGCTGGGTGATGGGAGCTGGGGAAAGGAGGCCGCACTGGCTTCCCCTCTCCGCCCACTCACCGAAGATCGCTTCCACCAGCCACGCCTCGAGGTGAACCGTCTTCGGGCTCTTGAGATACTCCGTGTGGAACCAGTAGGGCTGCTTGGTGTTGTCGCCCAGCACCTGGAACGGCGCCCCTCCCCGCTGCTCCAGCTGCACGAGCGTGGGAAAGCGCTTGGTGGTGGCCATGCTGCGGCGGGACACGCAGAGCCGGGGCAAATGCCAGTGGGCCTGGCTAAGGCAGCGGCTCTTGGGCCCGGGCCTTCTTATAAGGGCCGTGGCAAGCTCCTCCCCATCGCGCCCTGCTCATTGGATTCCAGGCCGAGCCTTCCGCAGCCGGCGTGGATCCGAGACGGCACAGGTGCGCTCTATTGCCTGTGGGTTCCCACGGTGCCCGCCCCTCCCTCCTTCCCCGCTCCCCGCACTCGGGGAGGGAGAGGCGGAGCTCTAGCGTAAAAGGGAAGATCCAACAGCAGGACAATATCCGCAGAGAAGCAAACCGATATTTTCAGGGACCCTGGTGCTTTTCAGACAGTTCTAATGGGGCCATTTTAGCATTCCTGAGGAGTTGGGATAACTTTCTAATGGAAAACTAAATACACACACACACACACACACACACACACACACACACACACACACACACAAAGAGCAAAAATTCAAAGGGTAAAATAGTATTCAAGGGCTAAAGTCTCCCACTTCCTCCTGAACCCCTGACCAATGAGTTTCCTACCCAGAGCCAGCCCATTTCCAATTTCTTCCTGCCAGAGACAGCTGAACACAGCCAACAGCAGGTGGTCCATGTGGTTTGGCCGTTAGAGGGGAGTCCCTTGAAATTTTTGATGTCTTAATTCTCTAACACAATTACATTTCCATTTCTCGATTTTTCTGCCCAGCTTAAAACATTACTTATTACCTGCTACTCAGGAAGATGAAGTTATTTAGCTCTCACATCAGTAGTTGGGTATCATGCCCAGGCCCAGTGGGCTGAGACCCTCAGAATACAGGCTCATCCTTGTATGGAGATCTGTTGGCCTCCATGGAGATCTGTTGACCTCCATGGAGATCTGTTGGCCAAAGAAGTGCATGAGAAGTTTGTAGGTATTTGACATGGTCCACAGTCTTGAGACCTAAGCAGAATATGCATTAGGAGCCAAAGAAAGGCAACATCAATTCAAAAGGTCACAGGATTGCCCTGGCTGGTTTGGCTCAATGGCGAGAGTGTCAACCTGGGGACTGAAGGGTCTCTGGTTCGATTTTGGTCAAAGGCACATGCCTGGGGGGGCTTGGTCCCTGGGGGGTTGGTGCAGGAGGCAGCCGATGAATGATTTTCATCATTGATGTTTCAATCTCTCCCTCTATGAAATCAATAAAAAAATTTAAAAAAATAAATAAAAGAAACATGACTATAAAACAAAACAAAGATCACAGGATGGACTTATAAACTCCTGTGGATAGGCATAAGAATTAGATGAATGTATAACTGAAACCCAAGGATCTGGGCTCCATGACTGCCTCCCCTGGAGCTATGGAGTCATTAACACAGCAACTATAAATTGAAATCTGAGGTCCCATCGGATTTGAAGGATCAAATCCAGGAAGCATCTCCATGACAATCTCTGGTCTGAAATCTGTTTCTTCTACCAAAATGATATAGGATGATAATATTTCCCCTTAGTTGACATAGGAATACTGCAGTTCTATGCATATTGCTGTCATTTGTGTGTGTGTGTGTGTGTGTGTGTGTGTGTGTGTAGATCTTTTACTTCCTTGAAGTTTCAGAATTGGGTATAGAAATATTTAAGAGAATTAAAACCATAGTATTAGTAATTATGTTAAAAAAGAATCTGTATTTAAATGAAATCCTAGACTATGAAAACTAATCTATAGTGATAGAAAGCAGGAAGTGATTGCCTGGGAAAGGGGATGGAAGGAGGAAGGGATTAGAAAGAGACACTAGGAAACTTGGGGATGATGGAAATATGCATTAGCTTGATTATAGTGAAGGTTCCACTGGATGTATCTATATGTCAAAATTGGTCAAATAGTACATATTTTAGTATAAGCAGTTTATTGTACTGTATTCTTCAAAGTGGCTAAAAAAGAAGGAATCCATATGCATGGTATTTTATTTTCCTGTAATATTTTAGATAACTTAACATATTAGACAAATAGTTTTGTAATTCCAATTTGAAATATATAAGTAATTGATTTATATATGTAGGTTAAGATGAAATATTAGTTTATATGCAGTATTGGATTTCTGAAGAGAAATTCAGGTTCAACATATTAATAAATTGTATTTATTTGATTTATAGGAATTATTTGTTAATTGGGAAGTTATTTGAGGCTTAAAGTACCTTGCAATGCTCTTTACCATGTATGAGAATATTTAGTTAATTAAATTTGTCAGTGGAACCTGTGATATTTAGAGACCATTAAATGTAATTGTTAAAACTTTCTGCCTGGTTCAGTGGCTAGAGCATTGGCCTTCAGACTGAAGGGTCCCAGGGTTCAATTCCGGTCAAGGGCACATGCCCAGGTTGTGGGCTCAATCCCCAGTGTGGGGCATGCAGTAGACAGCCCACTGATGATTCTCTCTCATCACTGATGTTTCTATCTCTCTCTCCCTCTCCCTTCCTCTCTGAAATCAATACAAATATATTAAAAAACAAAACTTTCTGCCTGGTCAGAGTGGCTCAGTTGGTTCAAGGTCATCCTGTGCATGGAAAGGTTGCCAAGGCACATACATGAGTTGTGGGGTTCCATCCCTGGTTGTATGGAAGGCAACCAATTGATGCACATCAATGTTTCTTTCTCTCTTTTCCTCTCTCTAAGCATGTCCTCAGGTGAGGGTTAAAAACACAAAAATCCAACTTTCTATGCTTATGAATGGGATAATAAGGTTTGAAAGTGAAACTTGGAAGCCTAAGAAATAACTAAAGGTTTGGTTTTTATAATTTTCAGGAAAGAAAATATGACTTTTCAAATAAGCCATGGTCATAATAGCCAGCTGAGGGATTATTAGACAGAAGTTCCCAGAAGGTGGCCTTGGGAAGACCCAGCTTCATCTCCATCTGTGAAGCCCTAAAACATTGAAATCATACCCTCATTGGGTGAACCCAGTACATCGCTTCAAGCAATATATTTTTAAAAATAAATAAAGCAGTTTATTTAGAGCCAGAGATCTGGACCATACGGTTCGGTTCTAGTGGCCAGGCAGAGCCAGATGAGCTTCGAAATAGCAGATTCAAAATTTCCAGGCCCAGGGGCTTCAAGGAACTGGAACAGTGGGAGCACTTTAGAGTCCCTTTACGATAATGAATTTTTAAAATCTCGTTTCCTCTTTGTTAAGTGACAGGAATGACTCCCTGAGGTCCCAGAATTCACACTTGCGATGTGAAGACCCAGGATCCAACACTCAGAGAAGGAAACGGACCCTCCTTTGGAACGTGGAAGGCTGAAAGAAAGGCTGAAACTTGATTGGCAGCTCCCGGGTGGTTCTCGCACCGTTAAACCTGGATTTCCACTTTCTGGGGTTCAGGCCCAACCACTCGTTCCTGGGGCACGAGTAGCGCCTTTGCCCCGCGAACTTCCAAGGCCCAGGGTTTCTGGTGCGGAAGAGTCAATCAGGTGGAAACCCTTGTAACCTTGTGACCTTGGGGACAGCTGGGCCCACCAGTGCCCGGGAAGGTGCAGGAGGTCACCTGCTAGAACCCAGTGCAGGCAGGAGGCGGGGCGAGCAGGGCGATGTGAGCCCCGGATTGGGCCTCCAGGTGGGCTCTTCCGGGGCGGGGCCTGGCTGGGGGCGGGGCCTGCCCGAGAGTTCAACTTTGGCGCGGCGGCGGCAGCGCGGGTTACTCTCAGGCCTAACGTAACTCTGAGCGAGCGTTTCCTTTCGAGGCATTCGAGATGGGGACGATGCCGAGACGGAAAGATATCCCCCCGTGGGTGAAAGTCCCCGAGGACTTGCGAGATCCGGAGGTGCTGCAGGTCCAGACGGCGCTGCTGGAAGCCATGTTTGGTAAGGGAGCCCAGTCCTGACTGGGGTGCCTCCACCCGGGCGGGCGGGCGGGCGCCTGGGCCTCCCGGGGTGGGGGGGTGTCGGAGCGCTCCATCTTCGTCCCCCACGTAGGCCCCGGAGGATCTCGAATCCCATACATCGAGCAAGTGAGCAGAGCCATGCTCGAGCTGAAGGTTCTGGAATCCTCGAACCTCACCGAGGTCGTGGTTTATGGCAATTACTTGTACAAGCTCCGAACCAAGTGGATGCTCCAGTCCATGGCCGAGAGGCACCGCCTGAGGCAGGAGCGAGGTGAGAAGCCTTCGCCGGATGCTGGGGGCGGGGGCGGGGAGGGGCAGCTTCACCCCCACCCCCGCTCCCAGCCCTCCGCACCCCTGCCTCCTGTGCCCCCTGCAACCGCCGCACCGGCCTCACCGCCATTCGGCCCGGCCCTCGGTGTTGGGCTGGTCCTGGGCGCCTTGGGGAGGCCCGTGGGCTGGTCCTCGGGGCCCTGGAGTGAGACTTGGGTGGGAGGTGGCCCCGGGTTGGTCTTACCGGATGGGGTTATCGGAGATCGCAACCCTGCCCGCCCCCGCCCCCCAGTTCCTCGGAGGTGGTTGGAATGGGCCCAGTGGTTCCACGTTCCGAGGTCCCTGAGGATCCCAGGCCCGGAACGTTGGGCCGGGACCTTGGAAGAGGCCGGAACCGGCCAGGCTGTTGCCTCCCTTTCCTCACCACGCCCGCCTTTGCCTTCTGATCCAGGGATGCTCAGACTCGAGGACGCCATGAGTGCCCTCGAGCTCGGCCTTTAGCTGAAGCGAAGCGCGTTTGCAACCGGCGGACCTGGGACCAGGATGTGGACAGGAGGCTGTGCACCTGCAGTGGGTCTGCTCCCCGCGCAACAAGGGAAAGCAGCGTGTTGGGGATTTTTGCATTGGCCTCATGAGTCCTGATGCTTTTTCCCAAGGTTGCTAATTAAATAAAATGTTAAAACAGTTCCTCGACCTGTGGTTGGAGATAATATCTACCTTGTACTTAAGCCTTAAATGAAACCCCCTCCCCGCCAAAGCTAAGTGTAGAGGTCCAAAAACACACTTGGCTAGGGTATATATATATATATATATATATATATATATAAAGGACAGGTGTCTAGGAGCAAAGCTTTGAGATAAATCTCCAACCAAAAACCGGTCAATCTAGGGGAGATGTGATATGGTCTGGAACTGACTCAAAAATAATCGCTCTGCCCTGGCCTGTGTTGCTCAGTAGTTAGAGCGTTGGCCTGCAACTCAGTCTTGGGTTCAGTTCCCAGTCAAGAGCAGGTACCTGGGTTGCAGGTTGATCCCCGGCCCTGGTTGTCTGTGTGGGAGGCAACCAATCCATCCATGTATCTCTCACATCTGTTTCTGTTTCTCTTTCTCCCCCCCCTCCCTCCCTCCTTCCCTTGGCACTCTCTAAAAAAACCATATGGGAAAAATATCCTCAGGTAAGATTAAAAAAATAATAGCCCTATAATAGATTAACATAACATGTATACAATGAAAAGCAACTATTCTATAAAACAAATACAGAAGTGTCAATAACTTGTTAGTATAGCAGTTTTATATCCTTGCAAACTCATTCGGTTCTCATCTTCAGTCTGCTGCAGAATGTTATTTAGGTGAAATTTGAAGAAAATTCAGCCTTACAGATAGGTTCTCCTTTTCCACATACCTAACAGACCTCTTGAAGGGGGCTTTGGGGTTCTCTACCACACTTACAGGGGTTCCCAAAGGGTATGTGAAATTGCAGGCAGATAAAGGCAATATTCTAGGTGGGGATCACCCCTGATTTGTCGCGGGATCATCAGAATGGGGGCTACAGGTTTCCCTAGTAGAGACTAGCTTAGTTGTTCCAAACCAAAATGAGTCCCACTTGGGGAACTTTCTGGCCCTATGACCTTAGTCAAGTTGTTCTATCCTCTCAGTCTCCAAATTGAAGATAACAGCATCTGACTCCACATGAAGTTGTGAGGGTTAGCTGTTAATACAGGTAGGGAACTTAAAACAGGCATCACACTCTAGCAAGTGTTGACTATTCCTAGAGATTGACCAATAATGGAAGAGAAGACTAATAATGAGCTGTCTTCTGATGGCATGTCTATCAGACAGCCATAGGCTAAATTCACAGAATGCTGGTCCAAAGGGAAAGACCATATATAATTTTGCTAGATGCTACTAACTTGCCTTCCAAAGGGGTTGAAATAATTTCACACTCAGCAACAATATATATAAGATTGCCTCTTTCCCCACAACCTCACCCAGAGACATTGGCACACTTTTTTTTGCTGAGCTGTTAGGTGAAGAGTCTTCCTGTCTTTAGTACTTCGTGATGGAGTCTGCTTTGTGGACCAACAGTTGTGGGCCCTCAAATTGCCCTCAGCTAGTGCACCCTTCAGAGTCAGTGGGCAATGAATGATTGTATGTAGGACTGTAAACAAAAATGAAACCCAATCTAGTGAAATCCTTTGGTTTATAAGTGGCTAGCAATAGACAACACTGATTGCCAGTGGAACTCAAACCACCTGGTGCATTAACTCAATTCTCTCACTATTACCATGTTACTAATTAGAAAATCAAGACCCATCAATCACTTCCCCTCCCCAGGATTCATCTGAGTGGAGAAGGGAAGGGGAAGGTTCCAAGCTGGTGTGAATGCTCCTAGGAGAGTCCAAACTGATCTCATTCCCCTCCTGAGCTCTAGAGTACTATCTGCCTGGACTCCAGGGACCAAGGACCTCTGGGGAAAGGGGTCTCTGCTGCTGTGTGTGGGCTGGAGTAAGTTTACCAACCTCTGATGACAGAAGGGCCTGGTCCTCCAGGAGATTCCAATCTGGTTGGGGCATTAATCGGATCTAAGAGGCAGTGACTTTATGACTGCATTGTTTTTGAGGAGCTCGAGGTTCTTTGGGAAATGGCAATGGGAATTTGACCTGAACAAGGTCAAGGAAGGTTCCATCTAGGAGGAAGTCACTCCTGGGTGAGAGCAGAGTGGCAGCAGTGACCCCCAGCCCCCTAGAGACCTGGGGGCAGGGCCAAAAAGGGAGGTGGGGAAGCAGGTTGGCCCAGAGCCTTGCTGACTATGCTAAGAGCAGAGGAAGCCACCCATGGGTTTTCAGCAGGTAGTGAGTTTTCTAAAAATCTAGTCCAGTTTTCCCTATACCACTTATTGAAGAGACCATCATTTCTCCATTATGTATTCTTGCCTCCTTATTAGATTAACTGACCATATAAAGTGGGGGTTTATTTCTGGGCTTTCTATTCTGTTTCTTGATCTATGTGTCTGTTTTTATGTCAATACCACATTGTTACTGTTTTTTGTTTGTTACCACATTATTTTCTGTAAGATTTTATTTGAGCCAAACTGATGATGATACTGGGAAGCAAGAGCTCTAATACCACATTGTTTTGATCACTATAGCTTTGTACTATGGTTGGAAATCAGGGAGTGTGATACCTCCAAGTTTGTTCTTTTTCAAGATTGCATCAGATTCCACAGATTAAGTGTTTAGGCCAGAAGGGAGTGGCAAGAAATATTCAGAGTGATGAATAGCAAGGGCCTACAACCAAGATTACCCAGTAAAGCTATCATTTAGAGTTGAAGGTCTTCACAGACAAGAAAAGACAAGAAAAAGCTAAAGGAGTTCACACTAAATCAATATTACATGAAATGTCGAAGGGTATTTTTTTAAAAAAGGAAGCAGCACCCTAGCCCAGTGGTCGGCAAACCACCGCTCGTGAGCCACATGCGGCTCTTTGGCCCCTCAAGTGTGGCTCTTCCACAAAATACCACGTGTGTTACTTAATAACTATATGTTATTAAGTAACATACAGTGAGATTGAAACTTCGTGGCCCATGCGCAGAAGTCGGTTTGCGGCCTGGGCAAGTCTATTTTGAAGAAGTGGTATTAGAAGAAGTGGGGGTACGTTCGCTGAGGTCGATCCCTCAGATTGAGGACGTTTTTAGCAAAGGCCAGCTTAGGAATACCCTAATTAACTTAATAACAATGTACCTACCTATATAGTTTAAGTTTAAAAAATTGGCTCTCAAAAGAAATTTCAATCGTTGTACTGTTGATATTTGGCTCTGTTGACTAATGAGTTTGCCAACCACTGCCCTAGCCAGTCTGGCTCAGTGGATAGAGCATTGGCCTGTGGACCAAAGGGTCCCAGGTTCAATTCTGGTCGAGGGCATGTACCTTGGTTGCAGGCTCCTCCTCAGCCCACAGGCTCGTTCAGGAGGCAACCAATTGATGTGTTTCTCTCACATCGATGTTTCTGTCTTTTCCTCTCTCACTCTCCCTAAAAGTCAATGGAAGGATGTCTTCAGGTGAAGATTAACAACAACAACAACAATTTAAAAAAAAGAAAGAAGAGATTAAAAATATGAACAATAGCCAAAACCGGTTTGGCTCAGTGGATAGGGCGTCGGCCTGCAGACTGAAAGGTCCCAGGTTCGATTCCGGTCAAGGGCATGTACCTGGGTTGCGGGCACATCCCCAGTGGGAGATGTGCAGGAGGCGGCTGATCGATGTTTCTCTCTCTCTCTCTCCCTTCCTCTCTGTAAAAAATCAATAAAATATATTTAAAAAAAAAAGAACAATAAAATGCCAATAAATACATATCTATCAACAATTGAATCTAAAAGTCAAAATAAATGAACAAGAAGTTTAATGAACAAAATAAACCAATGAATAAAATAAAACCAGAAGCATGAAAAAATGGAACAGATGGATGAATTTTGGGGCGGGGGGCGGGGGCGGGTTGCCGGGAAGAGATTAACCAAAGATTTTATATGCATGTATGCATTACCTATGAACACATAGACAATAGGGTGGTGAAGGGGACATCTGTAATACTCAACAATAAACTTTTTTTTTTAAGGCAGAAAATAAAAGAAGATTTTTGTGGAAAGGAACAATTCTGAGTTTAAAAAACAAAAGATAAAAAACAAAATTTAACTGAGTAAATTTGGATATACTAGTTGGCTTTATTAAGCAATTCATGAATTAGGCAACATCCCATCTAGCAAACAAAAGGCTGCTTTGAGGGGTTGTGCAAAATGGAAGATTTTCATAGAAAGAAGGGTGGGACAAGGGACCTAATGACAAAAGAAAGATTATTTGGGGGCAGGGACATCTTTTATTTAGGGAAAGAATAGAGAAGAGTTTTTTTGTGTGTTTTTTTTATCATGCAGATTGCTTTTTTTCTATGGGGAAGGGAGGAGGCCCATGTGACATTGCCTGGCTACACCTGGTTGATTTCAAACTGGTTGATTAAGGTTATATTTCTGGGAGAGGTTGAAACTGCAATTAGATCAGCTATTAAATCTAGATTAGGTATCATGGGATTTTAGCACAAGTGCTTTGTTTTCTCCATCTGAAAATGGGGGTTATAACTATAGTATCTCCTGAAGTGAAGATGGTTAAATGAGTTAATATATTTAAAGGCTTAGAAAATATCAGGCAGGTATTGAGCACTCTATAAATATTAGCTATTCTTTAAAAATTTTTAAAAATATTTATTTATTGATGAGAGAGAGAGAGAGAGAGAGAGAGAGAGAGAGACATCAATTTGTTGTTCTACTTATTGATGCATTCATTGTGTTTCTTGTACATATCCTGACCAGGAATCAAACCCACACCCATGGTATATCTGGACGATGCTCTACCCAGCCAGGGCAATATTCACTATTCTTATTGTTGCTGCTCTTACTGTTCTTTTTCTCAAACTGCTTATTAACCATTCTTTCTTTGTATCTAGTAGGCACGTGTAACTAGTATTTTATTGAATTCC